GAAGAAGGGACATTATTTTTGTTAAACTGTATGTAGATAATGAAAATAACAGTTTTTTAAAAGAATATTCATTGGCGTAGATGTTCTGTTTAAGAAAGGGGTTGAGCACCCCCTCCACTCCGCCACTGTGCAAGTTTTTGAACATTCTTACTGCTTGTTTTATGCCCCTTAATCAATAGGCATTATCCCCCAAACATGAAAAAAATCTAATAATTCATTTATAAGTTATAATGAAAATTCGAGAAAAAAAAATTATATTCAACACCCTGTATCTCAGAAATGAAGCCTTCTACGACATATGTTTATAGGAACTTTTCTTTTTAAAAACATGTGTTCTATCTCCTGTTAAAGTTTGTCTACAAAAAACTGACTCACCCTGTATATTTTATCATATATTTTATTTTTATTATTTGTTAATTCCTCCTAATCACACGTTTTAATGCATGTTTTGCAATTTTATCACACATTTTATTTCTTTTGTTTTTCTTGAATTTTAAATATTCCGCCAATCTCCTCTAATGGGATGCCTATACGCATGCATTGCAATTTCAATAATACATATACAGGGTGTATTTAAATGGAGGGGCACAAATGATATCAGATTCCTTGTGTGAAAATAAGTCGACTTAACCTAACATACTTATATCCCAAGTCGCATAATAAAAAAAGATACAAGGTGTCAAAGTGAAAAATAGAAAATGGTTTTTCCTTAATAATTTCTATAATTTTAGTCAGAAATGTTTCAAATTTTCAACAGAGATGATGGGAAAAATAATACAATAATTATTTTTAAGTGTCGAGTATAAGGCGCCCTCTGCAGATAACGTTATGCATTGAATATGTAGTAACTTTTTTGCCAACCTCTGTATACAGGTTTAGTAACAAAATATGAAATATTGGACTTTTTTAACAAAAAAGGTATATTTATTGAAAATGGCTAAAGCCAACCGTTGAGGAGAGAACTTTTAATTTCATAAATTAGTGTTGCGGATTTATACCTCTACGAATACCAAGGTTCGAGTTGCTTAAATAAATTAAAAAATCGAGTAGGTAAATGACATTTGATAATACTCGTAAATTGCAATTTTTAAGTATTAGTTTAAAGTGTTAATTAATTTTACCACTATTTACTTGCGTCCTAGATATTAAATAGTTTTGGAATTGAATAAAAATTATGTATACTAATGACGAGTATGTCGATATGTTGCAAGTATTTTTTGAATGTGACAAGAACTGTGCTGCTGCTGTACGACTTTATCATGCCAGATATCTCAATCGTCATGTTCCTGCTAGAAAAACTTTTGCGAGGGTAGAAAGAAGACTTTGAGGAAACGGATAGATTCAACCTCGTCCTGAAGGTACTAGAAGAAGACGTCTTATTTGCGATGTAGAACTTAAAGAAGTAGTACTAGAAAATTGGCGATACAGTATAACGTTTCACATACTACGATTTGGAAAATTGCGAATGAATCTTTTATACCCCTACCATCTACAATCTGTGCAGGAATTGACTGCTACGGATTTACCTAACGGGATAGATTTTTGTCAATGGAATATGAACATTTCAAGGGAGAACAGAAATATTTTATCCAGTATTTTGTTTGGAGATAAAGCGTCATTTCAAAGATATGGTTTAGTGAACCATCACAATAATCACTCATGGCCTGACGAAAATCCTCACCAAGTTTGTACATCCAAATTTCAGCATAATATTAGTTTAAATGTATGGGCAGGAATCGTAGGAGATTATCTTATTGGTCCGTACTATGGGTCCATTTATTCATTCTCGTGTCTCGGAGGAGCCGAATATTTGATATTGAGAACAATGCACCAGTCAAATGGCTTGCGCAATCACCGCCAACCCTATTGGACAAGGCGAAATCGGCGCCTTCGTATGAAAAAATTAGTGGATTTGATTTTTTTGCATAATCACCTCCGTGAGATGTCTCTAAATGAAGATCAAAATGTTACCGGCCGGTAACCTGGTCACAATTTGTTTAAACTAATTTTTTTTAAACTAATTGCAAAAATTACTTGTTTTGCTCAAGACAAATTTTTTTAAGTTTTTTTGGGGTATAGGAACTATTTTGTTTAGAATACTCCAAAAAAAACCTAAACAAAATTTGTTCGGAGCTAAACAAGTAATTTTTGCAATTTGTTTTAAAAAAAATTAATTTAAACAAATTGTAACCAGGTTACCGGCCGGTAACATTTGATCCTCATTCAGGGAGGATTCACGGAGGTGATTATGCAAAAAAATCAAATCCACTAATTTTTTCATACGTAGCCGCCGATTTCGCCTTGTCTATAATGATAGTGTGGAGATGCTTCTTCAAAGAATTTTTGCAGCAGCTGAGGAAGTAAAGAATGACATAAATATTTTTTCAAGAGTTAGTATACTTACATAATTTGTTATTTTATTCAATTCTAAAATAGGTATTTAATATCTAGGACGCAGGTAAATAGTGACTAAAATCAATTAACACTTTAAACTAATACTTCAAAATTGCTATTTACGAGTATTATCAACTGGCATTTACCTACTCGATGTTTTTATTTGTTTAAGCAACTCGAACCTTGGTATTCGTGGAGGTATAAATCCGTAACACTAATTTATGAAATTAAGAATATCTCCCCAACGGTTGGCTTTAGCCATTTTCAATAAGTATACCTTTTTTGTTCAAAAAAGTCCAAATTTTCATATTTTGTTACTAAAAGCAGTATACCGGGGTTGGCAAAAAAGTTACTGCATATTCAATGCATAACATTGCCTGCAGAGGGCACCTCGTACTCGACACTCAAAAACCACTATTATATTATTTTCCCCATCATTAAAAAACCTCTGTTGAAAGTTTGAAACATTTCTGACTAAAATTATAGAAATTATTAAGGAAAAACCATTTTTTATTTTTCACTTTGACACCCTGTATCTTTTTTATTATGCGACTTGGGATATAGGTATATTGGGTTAAATCGACTTATTTTCACCCAAGGAATCTCTGGCATCATTTGTGCCCCTCCATTTATATATTTTTAGTTTTGTTAAACTTTAATTTTGAATTTACCGCCAATCTCCACCCTGACGATATCTACTATACAAGCGTTTAATTTTACCTTTAGTTTCCCTTCGACCTCGCTCAGTTAATCACGTTTATCATAGGATGAAATTTATGCCCGTTCTTTTAGCTATTTGAATTTCTCAATTTGTATGTCGGTTTCCTGATTGGCCATTGGAATCTGCCGCCAATTTGAATGCTACACTCTGGCCAATTCGTGACGTAAGCGATCCATTCCAAGCTGAAAAGCGAAGGCCATTTCTAGTTGAAGTGTCGCCTTATCCACTCTCTTTCAAAGTCTTCCAATTACGAGTTTTTTCAAAAATTTTTGATAGGTAGTTCAAATTTAAAAATTAAAAAATGCCCTAGTGATATGCATTTTAAGAAATACCTTACATTTAAGATTCTCTTTATTCGTTACATATTAAACTATTACTTGCACCCTTTACGTATAAAATAAATGGGCAAATAAAAATATCGAATTTGTGTTTAAATTTTTTTTAATACAATTTTTTGTTATAGAAAAAGGATCCGATTATAGAAAAATTATATAGCAGTTCTGAAGAGGGACAAAAAGTATCAAGAAATAATGGAAACAAATTTTTGGCAGTATTTAGAAGGATAAAAGATCCATTTTTGAATTCATAATAATTTATCAATTCCTAATTATATTTTATGTTTTTATTAAATAAACCCTTTACATTTTTTTAATTGTTTTTTTACATTTGCAGTCAGTTGAGCAACTAATAACAGCACTTTTTGTTTCCTCAGTGTCATGAGTTTCCACTGGCTTAAATATTCCTAATTTGAATATGTCGTGTATTCCATTTATGATCAAATCTTTTGAAACTTGACTTACTAAGTTTGGTTTAGGTCTTGTAAATAACTTTTTTATTTGCTTTAGTTCGAACTTTTGGAGATCATCAATGCTTAGGGGTGTTTTATTTTTTTTCTTCTCCATAACTTGACGTTCATCTAAAGTGAAGTGTTCATATACAGATGATGATAATTTACTTAAATATTCTAGTACTTCTTGCAAATAATTACTGAAGACAAAGTCACTAAAAAATATATAAGTATTATCAATATTATACATATTTGTTTGCAACTTATTAAGAAATATAAGTAGCTCAATAAAAAGTAAGTATGCTCAATATTATACATATTTATTGTTACCAACTTATTTAAAAAAATAATTCCCAATAAAAGGATAAATGTTCTTATTCTTATGAAAACATGCCTGTTCTATATGGTATTGTCGTAGAACAACTTCAAATATACCTGAATATATTGCACTTAAATATCTATCTAATTACCGTGCGGTCCCAAGAAATGTTTCATTTTAGGGGACTTTGCTCCTCGGCAGGGGGGGGGGGACAGTAGAAATTCGAAAAGAGTACAAAAATTTTCTTAAGCCAAGAAACTATTAGATTGGAAATTGTTGCCAAAATAATTCAAAAATATTAAATTTTATGTTAAAAAATAATACATTTCCATAGTTTAAAAATTTAGCTCTGGAATTTTAAATTAAAAAAAAATAAATTTTATCTATCGGAATCAGAATAAAAGTTTAACAGTGCAAATAAAGCTATATACAGGGTGGGCCATTAGTGTGAGAAAGTAAAATAACTCCCTTGTTATTCATAATACTGAAAAAAAGTTTATATAAAAGTTGTACAGAATTAAAAAACCTAAAGGACATAATTAATTTGAAACATACAGGGCGATGAGTAAAAACGGAACACGCCAAAGATTACATTTTTTAAGTGGAACACCCTGTATATTTTTAAACATGTATTTCCGAGAAAATTCTATATATGGCAATATAAACAGTTTAACATTTTAGTGCGGGGTTGACAAATTATGTAGAAAATTCTTCGAATTTTGGAAAAAACATGACGTCGAAGAAGTTGTATTAACTTTCAACTACTAACACTTGGAACAAAAATATTTGAGAGAGTTATAGACAAATGTTAGGTAAAGACTCCTATATTAACTAATATTGATATTTTATACAGGACATTTTTTATAATTCGATGATTTTTACAAAGTTCAAACTTGATTTGCTAAAATTTTTCAAATGGAACACCCTGTATTTTATTGTTCTGTTTTATTCCCATATCAATCCCCTTCAACTTTTATTAAGTATGTTCTACACCTAAAGTTGTTAATTTTTAAGGTATAGCAACATTTCTGGAAAAACTTAATTTTTATTATTGTCGGTCACACGAAATGGCTTTGGAAAAAACTGTCACATTGTGTCAACTTGTCAGTTCATAATTTATCATTCCATTTTGAGTTAATTTTATTATTTAATATTTATTTGTGGTATTCTATAAAATAATAAAAATTAAGTTTTTTCAGGAATGTCGCTATAAAAAAAACAATTTTAGATATAGAACATGCTTAATAAAAGTTGAAGTGGACCGATATGTGAATAAAATAGAACAATAATATACAGGATGTTACATTTGAAAAATTTTTGAAAATGAAGTTTGAACTTTCTAAAAATGATCGAATTATAAAAAATGCCGTGTATAAAATATCAATATTAGCTAATATAGAAACCTTTGTCTAACATTTGCCTATAACTCTGTCTAATTATTTTGTTCCAAGTGTTAGTAGCTGAAAGTTAATACAACTTCTGTGTTCCAGGGTGTTCCATTTTGTTTAAATTTAATCTAATTTTAATAAAAAAATAATAAAAAATTAAATAAAATAAAAATTAATCCTTTAAATGGAAAAGGGAGGAAAGGAAAATTATTATTATTATTTTTTGTTTAAATTACTATGAAATTGACCAAAGTGGGATTAATTCAAGAGCGATTTTCTCAGAAACCGTTAAAGATAACGATTTGAAACAAGAGTACCTTTTTAACGTAAAACAGTTCGGGAAAACGGAATTTGCTGTCCAATTTGTTAAAAAGTCAAAGATGAAAAAGTTACACACGCAAAGTACCAAGGGCCCCCCGTACCCACCCCAATGGACCTTGTGGAAATAAATGGATTAGTCCATCAAATTGCTCATCAAAATTTAGCTGTGTATACCAAATTTCATTCATTTATCACAACGCGATTGAGAGATTGCAAAAAAATGATTTCCATTCCTCCCTCTTCAATGGGTCCCTGTGCCCTTAGGAAGCATTTCCGGACCCATGTTCATATGAACTTTTTTACTTAGTTTTGATCATAGAATCGGCCTGTTCAGGGTTGGCAGCTAATTATGAGACACCCTGTATAGGTATCCAAAAATGAAATAATAGAATTCGTTTTTGAAGGCTCCGAATTTTGTAAAGAAGCAAAATTTTACTAAATTGATTTGAATTATTTTTATCCATTCATCTAAATCAAACACCGATAGATAATATTCTTATATTTAGTTTAATATTTCAAAATTCAATTTATTTATCGGCAACTTGTGAAATTTTATTACGGTACCACCATATAAAATGATTTTACCAAAGATACATCGTCAATACACTGAATAATCAATATAATAATGGTATTTGCCCAAAATTAAAAAAAAAATGACTATTGGATGTAATGTGATGTTTGGCAATATTACAGATAAAATCAGTTTGTCATATTTAGTACCTATAGTAATATTTCCAAATTCAATTAAGCCTAGTACCTAGCAATATATGATTAAACTTTAATATCACAAACCCGTTATTTTGGCTTCAAAATATAAAATTTTAATTTGTTAGTAATTGATTGATTGACAACAAAGCGGGCCTAGTGGTTCTGGTAGTGGGTGCCCCCTCATAGAGACTAGCCCGAGAACAACAAGGAAAAATCAAAGATTTCTAGCTGAGGTTAAGGAAATGCCAGGGCAATCGGGTACATGGGCGACGACATATAATACGAAAAACCATGGTATTTTAAATATCACCATGGCAACGAAAGCCTTAAAACTACCTACTATTATAATTAGTCAGCAAAATATAATTTGTATCCCGTTTCCATGAAGGATTAAAGACTTTTGTATTGTGTTTCGAATCCAATCGCCAATCCAGCCCACGAAGCCACAAATCGCTCTAAAGACTTCCGGCCAGCAAAACTGGTACGAGGAGAGAACGATAATGAGTAATGACAAGGAGCAAATAATTTTCAGGCTAATTTCAAGTCGAACGTCACAGCGGCCTAATACCGCGTCGAATCACTGTAGAGTCAGCTCAGCAGCGCAGCATACCGCCGATAACCAGAGGTTACGCGCTCAAGCAATCCAGGCAGCAGTTGAAAGCAGTCAGCTGACAAAACCATCCATCGAGCTGAGGACCACAGTGACGTTGAGCTTCTTGCAATCTTTGGGTTCGAAGAGAAAGATAAAGATATTCGATCTCTCTAATTGTGTTTTATTTAACTAACAGCAGGTATACACTTGATTCTTCTTTATAGCGTTTTGTCTTGACTGAACTGAACTTTCTGTAACGTTATTCAACATTATAATAAATGAAAATATTAACTAATCATTCATGACTGCGTAAAAGTGTTTCCCGCTCAAGATCTATGCAAGCATTTCCGTTCTTTCATGTTTTCAAGTCTGGTAGGAACATCCCGGTATACCTACAATGTGTTTAAGAGTGCCCCATAAAAAAACTAAATATGTTAGATCCGGTGACCTAGCAGGCCAGACAACTGGACCACTTGTTCCAACGGCCTAGGTAGTCCCGTTCTAAGACTAGACTTCACGGGCAACTCTTGAATTTATTTCTTTGCTGAATACTTATATCTTCAAATAATTCTCTATCAAGAAACTCTCGCTATTTTTGTCCATCTAGGGTCCCATCGATAAAATACGGTCAGATTAATTTGTCCCCGAAAATTCCGCATTAAACATTTAGCGTCCAGGGCGCTGATGCTAAACCTCACAGATCCACCGTGGATTTTCTACATTCCAGTAATGCATGTTGTGCCTGTTTACTTGACCATGATTGGTAAAACCTTACTCATCCGACAATAATTCGTCAATACGTGTGAGAGCACCATGTTCAAGTCGCCGATGGCGACGCTCGCCATGCCAATGGAAAGCGACGGCTCTAGCAGCAGCGAGACGGGTGAAAGTCGGCCTAGAAGGCTATACTAGCACTTATTGCACCACAATCACACCGTCACCCCGACCTATTGCGAGGACGACCAATCCACAACAATAATATACCCATCGCATCGAAATCTAACTTCTGTTATCACATTCTAAATTTGGCAAATAACACAACCTGAATATGTATACGTTTTAATAAGTTACAGTAACATACCTAATCTCCTTAGTTACTTACGCAATTAGTTGTTCTAAAATGGTTTCAATTTTTACTTTATCTTGGCTCCGTATTGTTAGTTCTTCTTTGATCTGATATGTTGTTTGAGACTTTAATACATCCGATACATTTATGTCAATCTGATCATTGGGATTACTTTCAAACTGTTTTTTTGGTGTGAAAAAATTGTCTCTGTCATTGGTATGAATTATTTGAAGACTAATTACAATTGTTTTGGTGAAAGGTTTTGGGTGTTTTATAGTTATATTTTCCTGAAAAAAAAAAAAATACAAATGTTAAATAAGTACCTATATCGACAAACTTCAAGGTATGATTCTTTGAGCTATTTTAAGCCAAGCAAGTTATTATAAACTTATATTTGCAAATCGACAGTTTGAGATAAAATTTGAAAAAATTACATTTTCCAAAATATCACGTTTAATACAGACTA